CGCAGCCTGACTGTCCACGCTCCATGCTCACTTTAAGCCTTGTCACACACCTCTGTTTGAGAAATAGGTGGTAGAACAAAGCAGATTAAAATCTTTAAAGTCTGCCTTTCACACGTATCACAGCCTCCTCCTGTAACGTCAGTAAGCCAATGATGTTTGTTATGTCATTTTCAGTGTCCAAGTGCTCTCATAACCGCAGCTGTCGTCTCGCAGTTCGACATTCAAGGTCAATGGGTTCCTGTCTACACGGCTTGTGGTTGTTCCTGCCTTCTGGGTAAGTTGTACCTAGTTTTATTAAAAGGATCAACTGCTAGCCAATCACATGAAAACCCGCCATCAACGTGTACCGCAGTCGTGATTGATATCGATAGCGGCCTGTGTAAGTTTTGGGGTGTGAAAACCTGGTCGTTGTGTGTCTGTTCCAGACGGTTTATTGTACTAGTGCTCTCCGTAAATGCTTTCTGTGTTTCCTAAAATGTGTACAGCACCTACTTATTGCAAGAATCAAGGGGAGTAGGCTGGAATTTCCCCAAGTAATTATGCATGCCGCTCAAGCTGAGTACAAATTTCTCCGTGGTTGTTGTTGTGGTTGTTAAATATCGGACCACGTCTAGACGTAGCTATTAGATCGCCACGTCTGTGGGTCCAAGATGCGGGCAACATGTAATCAGCGTTGTTGTTAGTCACCACGCGTTTCCGTGTAGCGGCTAAATTTGCGACACAAAGGGTGCGAGAAAACAAACCGTCAGTACGCGAAACGTGAAACAATCTTTAACGCTTAGCTCAATACAATCTGCTGACGTCTGTTTACACCTCCGGATAAATTATTGTTGTGAATTGTCTACTGAAAGTTACGCTTTAATTGGGTACCTGAGGGTGCTAACTGTGGTGACATTGTCGGACTTAGTTGTTTGCCCGCACCACACACAGCGGAATTGGCCAACGTGCCAAGCCGGCAACTGGGTGTGTAGTAGCCCTAGTGGAGCAATTATCGTGGCCGGGGTTAGCTGTACTGCCTTCGCCAAAATCTGTATTTTTCGTGTGCCCTGCAGGCTTCGTCATAGCCCTGTTCACGCGTGACAAGAACGTTCGCTGTGTGGGATTTACAAACAAAGCATGCGCTTCCCTCTGCGATCCGTGTCGCCGCGATCTGCTGAAGGAGGACGAGGAGGATGAGGAAGCGTAGAGGACTGGCGTAGTTTTGGTAATTGTGTCTTACCAATTAAGAAATCTGCTTCTTCCTCAGATCATCAGTGGAAAATTGAGAGGAATACTGCATCTCGTGTATTTTTAACTCCTTTCTGCACGCCAAGCTAAAGTCACAAATGCAACCGTTCGACGTGAAAGTTGAGCCTTGTCACTTGGCTAAATCCTAGAGTAGATTCCTTGTCACCTCCTAATCTAGTTGATTTTTTGCTTCGACTCAATTTTAATGCTTTCTAGTTTCGATCATTTCTAGCGATGAGGCAACAGCGTCGTGCGTGAAATCTTCAATGCTTCATTTTTGAATAACAAACTAGTTTGCCGGTTCTTTATCATCCTAGCAGGCATTTTTATGCATCCGTGTATGAATACTACCAAGAAAGTTTGTGATAGGATGGATCAGAAAACGCCGAGTTTGGCCTTATATGGGCTATGTTGACAAGACCTTTCTTGCCACAGGGTGATCGTCAGCGTGGTAAACCTGAGCGACTGTTTGTTGTCCCTAATAGCTTCGTTTGCAGCGAGTTGAACAGAGTCCATAGTGTTATCTTTCATTGCCAGCGATCTCGGTTTGATCGTATGTGGGACAAAGTCATTAGTCAATTGTCTGAGGGAGATTCGTGTTGGGATTCGTAAACATAAATGTCACCGATCGAGTCAAGATTTCCTGTTTAAAATCAGTAATCAATTTAATTTAATTGTCTCAGAGAGCACAATTTAAATATCCCGCCTAATGCCAAAAGAATTTTGACCTAAATTAGACCGGAAAATGCTGGTATCACAATGTTAAGACAATCAAGGGGTGCTACTTTTGTGACAGATTTGTCTACGATTGGTTGAGCTGGTTGAATGACGCTTTCTAACCACCTAACACGTGATCGGAGATTTCCAGCAAACGCGACCTCAGCACGACCTCAAAAATCAACGCCGTCACCAACAGGGACGGTTTGTGATGGCGGGCATAGGTTTTGTAGGAAAACATGTCTGTCGCAGGTAAGGTCAACATCCTTGATTATGGATCATAAAATTCTGACTAAATGGGGAAAGCGTCGTCGTTCAAAAGTTATGACTGCTTGTGGCTGTTAAATTTGTCAATAGTTGACCTGAAAAACATTCCACCGAGCCATCAGGCCTCAGCTGTTAATCGTCACCAAATGTGGTGTAAAATTTCTAAACCCAAATTGACTTGTGCCTTTTGATATAAATTTATGGCCATGCGGAATGCAAGAACGTCAGTTAAAGTGGTTTTGGGCGATTGTGCAATGCGGAAATACGTGCAAAGTAAAGCATCTTGTTATTGGCTAAGACGAACCCTGCAAAATGGCGGGAAATAGAAAAGTTTGGAACGTAACGTGATTTAATTAGAAGCGAGCCGTGTGTGTTAAGCATTGTATATTCGAATTGCGCCATTAGTCAATTCCAACATTGTGGTTCTGGCTGCTTTACTATTAATGCGTATTAAAATGTGTCTTCCGGTCAACACTAGCCCGCATTCTGGGTATTGCTTTCGGCTTTCATATTACTTGCTCGCCTGCCTGAACAAGCCAGTAGAACTTCGGGAACACACGGTTCTTCATGTGTTTGCGAAAAAGGGCCTTTTCATTGTAACATGTGATCGGGAATCTGGTACAAAGGGAGTAGGCGACAAAGTAAGCTTAACTTGCACTCAGTGGACTAGCCGTTCAGGCGAAGACGTTCTGGGAACCAGAGAATTTTATTTCAATGACAGTTACACAAAAACTAGTCCTCTGGTGTGTTCAAGTATTAAGAATTAAGGAGGTTTACAAGGGTAAAAATAAGGAGAATTTTCCAGGACACTACCAAAATGTACAACTACTGTGATATAGTTTTCACCTAGTTGTCGCATATGGTAATACCGGCAACTACAACTGCACTCGAAATTACTAATCAGTAATTATTCCTGCCGAGAGACGTCTGTACCGGAGACCGTTTGAGGTATGGAATATAAAGAACCGATGCACGGAAAAGAGATGGCACCAGACACGACTTTGTCTAAGTCCAAAATCTTGCCGCTCGCCAGACACTGAAATAGAATCGTCAGTTGTGATGAAAGGAGGGTGTCTGACAGCCGCTACTTACTTGTGACAACATTTGTCGAAGCCTCTGTCGACGATATTAATAACTAAGAGTGCTTTTACCCTCATGCTTCTTTTCAATAAATGTCTTAACACGTTAGTGGAGCAAAGTTGAATAAGCCGAAATGGTAGGTAGAAGTAATTTAGGCTTAACAGGCACCTGATTTTATTTATTCCTTGGCTTCGGAAATCACCTCTAATATTGTGCCAGTGGGGCCTGAATTAGTATTTAAACAGTTTTATGTATAAAATTATACGTGGTTAGCATGTTTAGACGCCATAAAACACTTTCGAAATGCATATCCTGTTAATCGTCATTTGTCTTGGATGAAAATCTGTTGAGAACCGAATTCCACTTCAACCAGCCCGAAACGACTGATATGCTGCAAAGTTCACGTTATATTTGCTTTACTTTTGCCAAGATTTTTCATGTAGCTTTTAATTCATTATTTTATAGCAAGATTCAAACAAATCAACCTTTGAGAACAAAATTTCTTTGTAGTTTGGACAAGATTATGTGTAAAATACTTGGCTCATAGTTTCTTTTTTAGGTAATTTTAGAAAGAATGGACGTCGTTGATATCCGATAGGTAATATGTCTTAACTATTTTGGCAACTTGAGATATGTTTAGCAGACGGTAAGGCAGTTGTCTTAGCAGCCCTGTCTTAAAGTATGTCTTTAAATAAATCCACTTGCTTAGTGTTTTAAAAGCAAACGATTAATTGTACTAGTACAAGAATAAAATTAGCCCAACGTGGTTCCACAGGATAAATCCAAATGCTGTTAATCAAGGCTTTTAATAGAACTGACATGAATTTGTGAGAGCTTCAGTTAGCATAAGCATCGTCACCCATAAGCAAAGTATTATTTACATTAAGAGGGTCATCAAGGAAATTGTATTCAATGACAATGGCGTACTATAAAAGCAGATCAACAAAACTTTAAAACATGACAGCCATTGGTAATTCAAAATTTAGACAAAGTTATAAATAAATAATTTAAAGCGTAAATAAAATGCATGTTATTTGTGATTTAACCATGTTGATGCGTTCAAATAAACAGGGCCCCATTCCTTAATATTTGCATAGTTTTAAGCACTATCAAGTAACTATTGATTAATATATAGCCTCAGTTTAATTAAATTACGACAAAAGTTTTAATACAAATAATGAAAATGCAGGACATCTGCAGGAAAAAAATTGTTTAACTCAGCTACTCTTTTGCTCCTCAAGGATTGTGGTCTTTCAAATCACTTTTGATTTTGCGCGATTCCTTGGTCTGCACAATGGCTTCCCTGGCAGTCTGGGGTGTTCTTTGTGTTATAGGTGGATTCTTATATCATCTTGCCTTAGGCTACTTTTATACAGTTGGTATGTCAATGGTACTGTTCCTATATTTCCAATACAGGCAATATGAACCCATACATTATATCATTCATGGGAATTAAGTCCAGCCAAGCTGCGTGGTTTTCGTCAACTATTTTGGCTATGCAAGCTGTGGTTATGCCAACAGGGGCTATACTTGCAACGAAAATAGGATACAGATTCGTGTTGCTGTTTGGACTCGTCTTCAGTGCGTAAGTCTTTTATACTGAATACATTTGTATCCTACAGAAATTTTTTTCAAGTAATCTGCACATAGGTTTTGCTAATCTAATTGTTAGTGTCAATAATAAAATTTGCGTTTTAGCTAGATTATCGTTGTTGCATGTACCAGACTTATATGTCTCATTATGGCAATGATATACTTAATATTTATTCAATTAGAGATATTCTGTCTGATTCCATTGATTTAATTTTGATGTATTATTGAGAACTGTCAATTTCATATGATTTTTGTTATTTTATGTGTATAACTGGAATAAACAATCGATCGCGCTAATTCATAAATTCGTGATACTCTGGCACAGCTTGCATTTTGACAGAATTCCTGATTATTTTTCATTCATCTTTCAGTGGTGGAATAATGCTTACGCGTTTAACTGTTGAATACGGCCTGGGTCCATACATTGCCACTTATTGCATATTATTTGGTATCGGCATGGGACTCCCCTACTCACTTATCTTCTCCATTGCATCGTCGGTGAGTTGTAACACTTAGTGTGTTTCTTCAAGATTTGTTGTTAAAGGGTTGTACAGAAAATCTTATTGCTTTTTGATTTAAATGTTTTAGTGGTTCCCACAACATCGTGCAACGGTGGTGGGGATTATTTCATCAGGCTTCGGTTTGGGTGCCCTGGTCTTTACACCCATTCAGACCGCCATCATTAATCCAAATAACTTGAATCCAAACGGAACGTAAGTCTGTTAGTAAAAGTTTAAGAAGCACATTTCAATTGTTTCTTTTGTCTCTCTAAATTAAAATTTACTTTGGCAGTAAATTTCCACCTTCTGTTGAGGAGAAAATCCCGTCGGCGTTCCTAATCCTTGGTGGCATCGTACTCGCATTGGAAGTGATTGCATGCATTTTGCTGAGACAAAGACCATCGGTAGGTCTCTTTTTAGATCCTAGATGCGTTCACAAATTACAGCCACATTAGAAATTCTTTGTTATGTTTCACCGCATTTCTGTCCGTGTCAATGTAGTTTTTAACGTCTCTACGACGCTAATGCAATGCGGGTGGTTTGTAGCTGCAAAATTCACTCATATATCAACGAATTTGTGTTGATGCAAATTAGTAGTGCATAAATTGCAGAGTGTGGGATGGTTTACTGGCAAACGCCCTCCAAATACGGCCAGCTTTGCATAAGATAAATGAAACATGGATTCCAAAATTCAGTTTGTTAAGTAAATAACATTAAAAACATTTTCTTTTCTAGGAAAAGGCTCCAGAAGCTTCTGAACCGTACGTATTTGGCAGAATTAATGCTATTCTGGTCTTATAAACTTTTTGATAAAAAAAGGCGTAAAATTTTTATGCTACACTTTTTTTAAAAAAGCCATTTTGGTGTTCTGTAGGGACGGTGACAGCAAAGCGGCTGACAAAGTAGCTGGTGACGGAAAACTGGAAGTCAAAACGTTAGTTTCTGACATTTTATTGGCGGATTTGCGTCATTTTCAAATTAAATGCATTTTAAGATATAAATTTTCTTACAAACACAAAAATGCGCTATCGAACGCGTTATTTTGTCCTTTTTTAGTGACGGTGATGAAATTTCCATCAGTAAAATGACCGGTGACAACTCTTCCATAGATGTGGTCATGTGAGTTATTTCTGACACGTAGCCTTTGTCTCCTGTTTTTGTTTTTCAATCCAACTTTTACTTTGATTCTAGCGATGTACCACGAGTTCCACGAAGTTACACTACCCTCGAGGCGCTGAAGTCGGTGGATTTCTACTTGCTGTGGACCATCGTGTTCTT